TTGCTCCGGCGGCTCTGGCACTGGGCGGGGGCCCAGGTTCCGCACCGACTCCGGGACGGACCACCGCAAGGAATCCTCGCTGACCGACCCACCGGCCCCTCTATCCGCACACCGGTCCGCTAATTCGCTGCCGCGGTCCCCAGTGTGGCCGTATACGTGCGTCCATGACAATACTCGCGCGAGTTCCACCTGTCGCTTAAGTCCCCGAGTCTGCGCCGCTAGTTCTTCGTTCGCTTTTGGTTCCCACACGCCTTGCGCGATGTTCGCCGCATACTTTGAGTCAAAACGAACCTCGACTGGGACGGTCCCTTCGTCCAGCGCTTCCTTCAACAGCCAGGGCATCGTCTCTCCGATAGCCGACAGCTCCCTTGTGTTATCGGCCTTCTCTTGGGCTCCGATCCACCGGGGGTCCCAAAGCGCTGCAGCCACGTGAGCATATAACTCTGGTTCCAAAGTGCCCACTGGTTCCTGGAAAACGACAGCCCCCCCATCCAGCGACTCGAACCAGTCCCCCTTGCACCTCCGCTTCCTGCCCCGACCCATCCGTGTACACTCTCCAACTGGTTGGCGGCGGCAACGCGGGCCAGCGGCGCGCGGTCCAGAGACCGGTGTCTGCGAGGCTCCGCTGTTCTACGCGTCTCTGTCGAGCCGGGCACACGCGTGCTCTCCACGCGTCTCTGCCCGGGCAATAGACCTTGCACTCTGGGCATTGCCATACGAACCCCGTGGTGATCACGTCGGGATCGCACACCGCATGCTCCGCGTCGCAATGGAAGCGCATGCTGTTCGGCGCATCACAAACTAAATTGCAGATTGGGCAGACCCCGGGATCGATAGCTGCATCCGCGCGGCGTTTCAAAAGGCGGCATACCTCTGGACGCACCAAAGGCACCTGCTGACCTGGGATCCAGTGCGACACAGGTCCTGTTCGTCAATTGTCAAACGGTGAGCCACCCCTAGCTCGCTACATGACATGCGGCCCCATCTCTTGCGGAGTTGCGCTTGTCGGAGCCAATCCAGCTTCGAGAGCCCCTGCGTGATCCAGAACATGCTCTAGCCACCTCGGTTGCAGGATCCCGACCCCTGCTTCTCGGCTCTGACCGCACCAACGGGACAAAGCTTGCTTGGGCCGCTCATGCACTGGCACACGGGACACGTGTCCCAACCACGCCAAGCCTTGTCTCGCTATAACGTCCACCATGGATTCCCACCCGCCGCCGCAAACAGTTGCTCATCCGTGATATGGAATTCCTGCAACTGGTGCACGTCCATCCCCATGGCTTTGCGTACCGCATAATGCGCCACCCGCTGCGCCAACAATAGTTGTCGCTTCGTCCACGCCCTGGACTTGCAGAACGCTACCATAGTGGGCAAGCCGCGGCTTTCATGAAGGTCAAGCGCACGTGCCGGCGCACCCCGCTGCGGCCCCCCCCTGCCGAAACGGCCCTCGGACTTCCAGGCTTGTCGCACTTCCGCGACTTTCGCGCGCGCTCTGCTGGCACGCCACGCAGTGTCCTTGTCCCGCTTGCCGTCTTCGGATATGATTCCGCCAACATGTTGGACACTCGCTACTTCCCCAAAGCTTCCGACATCATACGAACGGCGGCCCTGTGCGCTGATCCTCAAACGTTCCGTTTTCGCTTGGTTCACTCGTTCCTCCCAGTCTTCAAGCGTCGTCACGAAAGCCCCTTCGGCACGTTGCACTTCCTCTTCCCTACCGCAGATACCCGTGTCATCTGCATACCCAAAGTCACCGATTACCGTGCTGGCTACATCTCTGTGTGTGCTGCCTTCTGCTCCTACCACCTTGATGTGGGAATTCTTCACCAAATCCGCGTTTACTCCGCAGTACCACTGAATTCCGGCTGGCTCGCCCCGCTCCGCGGCGGCAGTCTCCCGCCGGGCGCGGAAACCCTCCGTCACCCCATCGTGGTACATGTTAACTAGTGGCGGGGACGATGGGCAACCTTCAAGGAGTCCTCTATCTGGCAGCCACGGTTGGGATAGGCTGCCCGCGACGCGCATTGCGCACCCCGTGCCTTCGTGAAGCGCCTGACAAACCTTTATCATCCGAACGTCACACCCCCGGCGCTGCAAGAGCTCCCAGAGCCCGTCCTTGCACACACGCGGGTCGGCTTTCTCGATATCAAGGAAGCTAAACCGAAACCACTGCGCGTCCTCTTTGTTTCCCCTGCAGATCTCCTCCACTGACCGACGGCTGGTCTGTAACACGTCGTCTACGCCGCGCCCTCTCTGGAAACCGCATTGGGTTTCATGCATAAAGACTTCCGCCCATCGCCCCAACCGCGCCGCCGCCGTTCGCCATCATGGTACTGGTACTGGTACTGGTGGAAGGGAATGTAGGCCTAAAGGCCGCCCTTCGTCTCCCCAGCAGGACCCGGACCCCGGACCCCAACCCCGGAGGGGTGAAGTGCGCCGCGACGAGGCGGGGGCGGGGACCCCGTGCCAGGAGAGGCACGAGGGGGAGCCCGATCCTCCGCCCCACCGCGACGGACCCCACCCCGAAAGCCCCCAGAGCAGAAGAGGTGAGGAAGGGAGAGAAGACCAGGAGTAACGAGGCGGAGAGATCCCCTTGGTAACCGGAGCCCCATACTGGGTGTACCAGGGTCAAGGACCGTACCATGAAGGCGCCTCATCGGAATATCGGACCTTGCGACGCCCGTCCTGGAAGAACATGCCGATGATTGAGGCACCAGCAAGAAATCGAATATTGGCACTCAAGACAGCTTCGCATGCACACCTTCAGAAGCGCACGACACGCACTGTGCGCCGACAGTTCCACACACACACACACACTCACCGCCTTCAACCTGGAGCGCCCACACGACCTTCAACCCGGAACGCCCTTAGGACCGTATCTCAGCTGATGGAGTGTGAGCGGAACTCCAACAAGGCATGTGCCGTTGTGAATTCTAGCCCGTCCGGCAAACCTCCCCGCGACGTGCGTCCTCCCCGCCTGTCGGTCAGGAAAGGGGCGCAAGGCCCCTCGCCGCCAGGGGTGCAAGACCCCCCACCCGAGGAGGCGGTGCAAGGCCACCTCCCAGCGCAAAAGGGTGACCCCGGAGGGCGACGACGACCCGACTGACAGGCGAAACACGCGTACTCCCCAAATGACCACTCCGGCATCTGCCGCCCCCGACCACGAATGCCCCTGGACCTCCCCGCCCGCCCCCTATCCCCCCCCCACACCCCAATCCAGACGGCACGATACCCAAAAAGGGTCGATTTGCATCAGCGCGGCACCACGGAGAGACAGCTTAGGATCGGCCCAGAAGGCCCGCGCGAAGACAGAACCAGAGTCTGCCAGCCCCCGGTGATCAGGCGGCAGCCAGCCTTACGCTACCCGGCGTACGGGGGAAGATTCAAAAGAATCCAACCGCCCCCGCACGCACATGGCAGCGAGTCGTGCCCTCCCGCCCCCGCGCAAGTTCGAAGCGACACGTCGCGGTGTGAAACAAATGAGGGAGCCGCAGCCAAGTACCAGAGCAGGGGGTCTCCATTCCACTCCGCACCCGGCCACGCACTACACCATGGGGGCGACTGCGGGGGCCACTCAGGCCGAGGGGAACCTGGGGGCCCCCCGTCCTGGGGTTGGCCGCCCTCGAGCGCTGGCCCACGTGTCAATCGGCACTGTACCCCGAGCACCCTCGGGCGCCCAAGAGGCGTTGCCCCCGGCCCAACCGGGCGGTTTGGGCACTCACGGGCCTGGAGAGGCGCCGTACCGTGCAGCGCAGCAACCGAGACGCGAAAGAGCTCCCGACGGAAAGCAAAGAAGCGCGCAGCCCCCGCCCAACAGTGCTCCCGTCCGACTCGGCGGTCTGTGGACGTGCCGGCGTAGCTGGCTATGCCACGCCCGGCACCGCGGCCCCGGGAGCAGGGCGTAGGCCGGTGAGAACTGCGGGCGCGCCCCCCAACGCCATACCCAATGCTTGGACGTGGCACTTCTCTCCGCAGACCCGAAACCCGGCACGCACCAAACCTAGCACACGTGCCACGCCGCGCAAAACACACAAGCACATACATACGTGTCAAACGCGCGCAACACACAAATTCGCGCACGCGTGCGCAAAAACACTCTACCCGTCTGTTGCCGATATTCGTAGTTCCGCCGCGCCCGTTCGCCATCATGGCCACACGACTGTAGGAGATGTCGGCCGCCAGTTTCTTTTGCTCTTACACGTACTCACACACGCTTTCGGTCGTAGCCGCGCGTCGACTCGCCAGCGCGCCTTGCGCTTGCACGGCCGGAGCCGCGCGCGCACGCATGGTCGTCCAGAAGAAGGAGAACGGGACACGGCCAGCCCCTCACGGGGCAGTGGCTGGGCGGCGGCTGGGCAGGCAGCGGGCAGCGGCCGCGGGGGGCGGCAGGGCCGCGGGCGGGGGAGGGGCCGCTGGCGGCGAGGGCGTGGCGGTGCAGCGAGCAAGGAGACGCCACGCCGTGGGCGGCGGGCGCAAGAGAGCGGCACGCGGCAGCGCAGCCGCAGAGCCACGCCAAGGTTAGGCCGGCAGGGAGCCCCGGCGAAAAGCCGGAGGAAGCCGCGGCGCGCTGGAGAGACTGGCAGGCCGGGAGAGGCGGGCGAGGCGAGGCGGAGCGGAGCAGGGCGGCCCAGGAGGGCAAGACCCTGTCAGCTAACAGGGAGCGGCGGCCAAATGGCCGGAAAAGCGCGGCGGGCCGCCAGGAAAAGAGACCGAGAGGTCAGGGGAGGCGCGGACGCCGAGAGCACGGACACCGCCCCAAGGAGAGCAGCGCGCCGCGGGGGGAGGGCGGACTCCAGACAGGAGCCAGCCGAGGCAGCGCTCGACACACACACACACACACACACACACACACACACACACACGCGCCTCTGGGCCGCCTCCGGCGCGCGGAGCGCGCCAGGCAAGGGATGTAGCACAAAGGGGCCCCAGCGCCGACCCGAGAGGCCCGCGCAGACCTCCGAAAGTCTGTGTTTCATGTGTTGCCTTCGCTGCTCCCCGAGGAGGCCTGGTCGCCTGCGCAGGCCTCCTCTGCGCAGCGCCTGGCGCTGCGCGTCCTGGCGGACCCGGGCGGGCGCCAGGAGGCCGCCGGCCTGCAGCCGGAGTTGCGCCGCGCGCTGGGCACGGCGGCGCTGGGCGTCCCAGGGCTCGGCGACCGCGCGGTGGCCTCGGACACGACGCTGAAGTTTCGGCACGAGGTGGGCGCTCAGCGGGCCGTCGTCGTCGACGCCGCTCTGGGCGGGCCCAGGACTTGGATAAGTCGCTCCACAGAGCGTTCCAGAACGCCGCTCTCGGAGCGTTCTAGAGCGCTCTGTTTGGAACGGCCGCGACGCCCGATACATCCTCCAGAGTTCGCCACGCTGTGGGCCCTGGGGCCCTGCGGATCGACACTGTTCGAGGAACGAGGCTGAGAAACGTCGGGCGGTGGTGTTGCCACAGGTGTGGCCTTGGCCCACGGCGACCCCCGTTTCTCCAGGGACGCCCAGGTGGCCTCGCAGAGTACCCCTCACAAGGCCCAGACGGCCCCGAGGGTTTCCAAAATGTCGCCAACAGCTGGGTGTACCTCGAGCCAGGATCACTCCTGGCAACCTCCGACGACAGGCGCTTTCGCCTTGAGGTTGTACAAGTCAACCATTCTTGCCCGCCTGAATCACAGGCAGACGCGGAAGGAGATTGGATCATTGGCGATTCGGGGTTCCATAGAATGTAAGAGCTGCTGATTCCAGAGACCTCCTCGTGCTTGTCCTCCTCCTCCCTCATCTCGTCCTCCTCCGTCCCTGCCTCCCTCCCTGCCTGCCTGCCTCCCTCCTCCTCCTCCTCCTCCTCCTCCTCCTCGTCCTCCTCCTCCTCCTCTTCCTCTTCCTCTTCCTGCTCCTCTCCTCCTCCTGCTCGTGCTCCTCGTCCTCCTCCTCCTCCTCCTCCTCCTCCTCCTCCTACTCCTCCTCCTCCTCCTGCTCCTGCTCCTGCTCCTGCTCCTCCTGCTGCTCCCCTCCTGCTGCTCCTGCTCCTGCTCCTGCTCCTCCTCCTCCTCCTCATCCTCCTCATCATCATCAGCATCATCATCATCATCATCATCATCATCATCATCATCATCATCATCATCATCATCATCATCATCGTAGCAATGTTCTCAAGCTTGCTGAGGCGCGTGGCTTTGGGCAGGTGCGCACCTGCTTCCCTCGGTTCCCTTCTCCCGTGCACCCATGGTGATCGAGGCGCGGCTCGCGATGCTGGAGGGCAAGATTCGTTCCGGGTTCGTGGTCTCTCTGACCTTCATTCCGCAAGAGTCGGGCATGGTCAAGTTCAAGGCCGTTGTTCACCCTAAGCGTGCACACGTTGGACACACGGGTATTCAGTTTCTCTTGAGGGTTCTTGAGGACGTTGGCGATCTTCTCGACCGCATGATCGTTGTCGACCGCGGGCACGACTTCAGCAACGGCTTCGATAAGGTCCACATTTGGCTTCGCCCACACCACCCCGCTCATGATGATGGTCTTCGGCCTGGTGATGGGCCTCCCGACGGCAGCGACGATGATGGTGAGCAGGATGGGGGACGCAGGGGAGCGCCATGATGGCGGTGCTGATTCAGACCGCTGCTCGGATCCTGGCAGGGGTCAACCTCGTGAGCGCTCCGCGGCTCGGCGGGCAGGCGGCCCCTCTTCGTCTGGTGGGCGGCGGGTGCGTCCGGGGAGGCGCGGCGACCAGACCGTCCTGGCGCTCCCCTCGGTGCCAGTTCTCCCCTCGTGGGAGGTGGACGCGTGCAGCCAGACGGATACCCACCTCACTCAGGATGCTGAGGCGCAGCCGGCTTTGAGTTTACGTCACTCTGTTGGGGCTGATGGCATGGCCGTGGACGGCTCGGGCACACACGAGTACGAGGAGGAGCTTTTCCCAGCGGACGCGGTTGGTGGGCTTCATACTGGGCATCCTGCTGTTCTTCAAGATCGCGCAGTTGTGCGTCAAGAGCCTGGTCGTACGGCTCCTCCTGGTCGTGATCTTCTGGAGCCTCGTCGCGCTCTTCTGGAGCCTGCTAGTGTTCTTCTGGAGCATGGCAGTGATCTTCTGGAGCCTGGTGGCGGTCTTCTGGAACCTGGTCGTGTTTCTCTGGAGCATGGTCGTCATCATCTGGAACCTGGCCGGGTTCTTCTGGAGGCTGGTCGCGATCTTCTGGCTCCTGGTCGTGAACTTTTGGAGCCTGGTCGTGAACTTCTGGAGCTTGTTCGTGGTCTTCTGGAGCCTGGTCGTGATCTTCTGGAACATGGTCGAGTTTTTCTGGTGCCTGGTCGTGTTCTTCTGGAGCCTGGTCGCGATCTCCTGGAGCATGGCAGTGATATTATGGAGCCTGGTCGTGGTCCTTTGGAGCCTGGTCGTGTCTCTCTGGAGTCTGATCGGGATCTTCTGGAGCCTGGTCGTGGTGTTCTGGAGGCTGGTCGCGATCTTCTGGGACATGGTCGTGATCTTCTGGGGCCAGGCCGTGATCTTCTGGAGCCTGGCCGTGTTCATCTGGAGCTTGGTCGTGATCTTCTGGAACATGGTCGTGTTCCTCTGGAGCCTGGTCGTGATCTTCTGGACCCTGATAGTGAGCTTCTGGAGCCTGGTCGTGATCCTCTCGCGACTGGTCATGAGCTATTACAGACTGGTCGCGATATTTTGGAGACTGGTCGGGATCTTCTGGAGCCTGGTCATGTTATTCTGGAGCCTGGTCGTTTTCCTTTGGGACCTGGCCGTGATCTTCTGTAGCCGGGTCGTGATCTTCCAGAGCCTGGCCGTGTTCTTCTGGAGCCTGGTCGCGGTATTCTGGAGGCTGGTCGCGATGAGCCTGGTCGCGCCGATCGGGAGGTTTCTGCTCGGACGATCTCGCAGAACATTGCTGCCAATAACACCGCTTTTCGTCAGCTTGTTGAATTGCGCTCTCAGCTTGCCGACATCGAGCGGCAGATCACACCTGAAAGCCCAGCTGCCTGGTTCACGCTGCGTGACCAGTTGCGCGCAACACTGAACATGGCCCAAGACACTCTTGCCGCTTTCAGGACAAAGTGAGCTTTCCTGCTCGTCTATTGCCGCTGGTATTCAACGGTTTTACGAAAATAAATCAGCATCATCATCCTCATCATCATGCTCATCCTCATCCTCATCCGCATCCTCATCCTCCTTATCCTCTTCATCATCCTCCTCCTCCTGCTCCTTCTCCTCCTCCTCCTCCTCCTCCTCCTCCATTGCTTTTCCTTGTAAACAACGTCCCCCTGTCGCATCCCGAGGCCAGTTTTTAGGGCGGGCTGGGCGTTTCGCTTGAGATTTCCACACCACTTATGACCCTGAAGCTTGTACAAAATGACAACAGATTCACCTCAAGCTGGCTCAAGCATAACGGGATCACCTCCGCTTCGCACCCACCGTTCTACCGCCACCGTGCCTCCGGCCCATCACCACAGTCCACGTGCTTGCGATAGCGGGTAAACCGAGGTATTTCCGGTCCCTGCTTGCGCAATCACAGCGATGGCATGCGTCCAGGCGCCTCCTGGCCATCGTGGCGCCGCTGTCGCTGCTGCACTGGTGACCGGGCCGCTGCTGCCGCCGGGGCTTCCCGCTCCAGCGGAAGGCTCTGCTGCGGCTGCCCCGCCATCCGACCCAGGCCTGGGCCTCGGGGACGACGGCACTGGCCTGACCCAGGATGCCGAGCGCCTCGACATCGATGAGGATGACCTCGACATCGACGAGGGCGGACCCGCCACCCCTGCCGCACCTCCAGAAGCACTCCCAGGGGCGTCGGCGACAGCTCCCACTGGTTTGCCAGCTGCGCCACCTGCAGCAGCTGCAGCCGCAGCGCCAGTAGAGCTCGGCGCTGCTCTTCTGCAAGACCTGGTGGAGGCCATCACCCTGGAGAACGTCGAGCTCATCAGTGCGGCCCGCGCTGGCGGCGCCGGGCCCGCCATCGCCAGCAGCAGCCTCAGTACCTGGGCTGCGCTCCGGGACCTGCTCGAGACCCTCGCGCACAAGCCACAGGCGCAGTGCCCCTGGCGCTGCTTGGGCTTCTCGCCTCTGGAGGGCCCTGAGCCGACTCTCCATGGGCTCGAGATCCGAGTGCGCAAGGCTCGCCTACTGTGTTCCTCCGCGGCGTCGCCATCATGGACCGCGGCCGATCGCGCTCACGCAGACGCCGCCGTGCAGGCCTTCGATGCCGCGCTGCACAAGTGCAGCAAGCTGCTGCCGGACATCGCGAGGGAACGCCGCCGCCAGCGCCCCTCCCCCCTTCCCCTGTGGCAGGAACTCGGCGCAGCAGCACTCCAGCTCCTCGGCACCACGGCCCTGGCAGCTACGGAGGTGGCAATCACGCAGCTTTCAGACCTCCTCCTGACCACCTCCGAGGCTCAGGCTCTACATGGGGGCACGCTGAGCCTTGAGCGCAGCCGCCGCCTCGCGGAGCTCGCAGAGAAGGGGGACGCTCGCCTCTGGCCCGCACTGGAAGGCCGGCCAGCGGTCATGTGGGCACCCAGTGACAGGTCAGCATTGGGCCGGCTGCTCAACTCGTACGCGGCGCTGCCAGGTGCGCCAGGCGGCCCACCATACCTCAGACTCATTGCTCCATTGGAGCTTCCGCGTGGCTGTCACACCCCAGAGGCCATCTTGGACCTATGGTGGCACCCCCTCCTCAGCGAACGTTGGGCCCCCATGGTCAAGCGGCTGGAGTTTTCCGTGGATCCTCAGGCCCTGATTCGCCCGGGATCGCATGGCCCACGCCATGAATTTCAGGGCCTCGCCATCTTCACAGTAGCTGCGGAGATGCCCCGGCGCCCGCCGATGGCGCTGGCGGCCTCGGCTCCGGTGCTGCACGTGGAGGCGGCGCCCAGCTACATGCTGGATTTCCCAGCGGACGCCCTTCCCGAGGTGCTCCGCCTGCTGGGAGCACCCGCCTTGCAGCACGTACGGGCCAGCCCCCCTCGACGCAGCCTGCTCTCGATCCCGGAGGGCAAACGCCTCAGCATGGAGTGGACGTTCCCGCCCTCGGCGACCCCGCTCGAGCTGGAGCTCCTGTGGCGCCTCCTCCGCCGGACGTCCCTCCCACCAGGGGCGTTCTTTGGCTCGACTGCCATGCTGGCGGACGCGTCGTCGCTGATCTGCGAAATCACAGGGGCCGGAGCTGCGCTGCACGCGTGGGGGCTCAGCACTCAGATGGTCGCGGTCCGCTCCGACAGGCTCC